AACCAGGGAAATACACACCAACGTATTCTTCTTACTAAAATCTTTAAATAATTTTAAGTGATAAAAAGCTGAAAATCAATGTGTTTCTTACTTTAAATTTTCATTTTACTCTGCCATTGACTTTTTCGCAAAAAAAGTTGTCAACAAAGCTTGAAAAAAACTAACGTAAAAATGTCAAGGTGAAAAAAAATGTTCTAAAATAAATTTTCATAATAGAAAAATGAGGAAACCGTTTTGTAAAAAATTTAACCGAGAAAAATTACTTCAATTAAAATTCTAGTAGTTATGGCACACACATTTATCTTAAATGAATTCAGTTCATAAATAAGATATATACTTTTATTTTTTTCTAATCTAACCAATTTTTTTTTTTTTTCGTTTCCCTATTCCTTTCTCTTCACTTTCGAAAAATACATAGAAAAGTAAAACAACATTATTTCAATGTAACTTATATTGTTATTTAAAATAATTTTAATTAGCTTATTTATTTTTACAAAGTTTTTATTCACTGAGACATAAATAAATCGGAATTAGTAATGACTCCTAAAAAAATAAGCAATACTGTATAATTCATAAGTATATTTGATAGCGTTGAATGAAATATAATACCAATACTGTTGCCTTAAAAACTAATGTATAAAGTTCTCGTGAGATTTCATAAAAGTTCAACTTATAAGTTAGACATCAATTAAAATTCAATGGGTATGTTTCATTAATGGTTTATGTTTTAAGGTAGTTTTTAAAACAATCATATTTAAGTAATTTTTTTTCTGTTTGCGATAAGAATAAATACATATTCTAAATCCAATGTCATTTTAAAGGAAAACTTCAAGTGATACGAGGGGTTCAAAAAAAAATAAGGTAACAAGCCCATTCAGAGTAAATATTTATTCAGGAAATAAAAAAAATATATACAATGTAGGAAGGCACAGGTGCATATTACTTCACTACATAGACATCATATTTATCGGGGCGTTTGCTCCATCGGTACACCAAATCATCGTAGCCAGCATCCTAGAAATCAGTGTCAAGATTGTTCAGGCACAATGCTGTGTGCACTGCTAATAGAGATATTGTATTCTTGTGCAATTTTACTCAGCGTAGAGCAAAGCCTTGAATTAAAGCTTCGATATGGCAAACAGTCATCTGCGGTGGACGTGCTTGGTCGTTTTGCTCTTTTTTCATCTCGCACACCTGTTCTGACGTTGTCAAATTCCATGGATCAAAAATCACTCCTATTTTTTTGACATAACACTTCTACCAATTCCCGATGAATTGCATCAGAGGCATTTTTCTGTGAACGCAAAAACCGTGTCAAACATTTATTTTCAATCGTGGATCCTGTTTCCGTCATAGTAGCCATTTTCTAACTGTGATTTAATCATGGTACTGGAGAACCAGCTCTATCTACTGACATTGTTTGAATGCTGTGAGCGTCTTCATTATCTTAAGAAAAATTTTATACATGATAATTTACATGCCCGTCGGAGTTCTTATTACCTATTTTACGGAACTCTTGCGTATATTCTTTGAGTAATATCTTTAATTCTCTTCAAACGAACGAAATACCTTAAAAATGAATATGATTTCGCCTTTTTTTTCGCCTCCATTGTATTCATAGGTTGTAGAGAAAAGTATATCATCCTCGCTCTGATTACGTTATTCATTTATGTAAGGTTCACAGCAAGAGGTAATAAAAATATAATAATTATACAATGCTACGAAAAGAAACTTTTGCGAACAGTTTTATAATAACTAATTTTGCTATTTAAAACATCAATATAAGGAAAAAGGGATTAAATTAAACAATTTAATAACATCAAATTAGGATATCATTATTGCAATTAGAATCAGAATAAATTATACATCATAATTATACAAGAAAATGTAGCTGTAAATTTTTATAAAGGTATTTCACTGAAAAAAACAAGTCAGCAAATGATAATTGTAAAAAAAAAAATTTTAAATATTTACATTGTGTTTTTACGCAGGTAAAGTTGCATTTACTTCTAAATAATTCACACATTTTAGAATGATTTTTCAGATTATTTTGCATTGTTTAAAATGTAACAACTCATTCCTTAAGCCTTCAATGTAGTAATTTTGTTTCTGAACTATAAATCTGATCTTGATTTCTATGATAAAAAGGTATCTTTCACCATAGCTATCCCATAGTTATCCCATAGCTATTTATTACCATGCCTCTTTCCTTACTTTTCAAGGGGCCATCGATCGTAATGGGTTTTCTCTCAGAAACAGCTGTTTTTTAAAGCACAATAGAGTACAATAGCCTATAGATAAAATGCCAGGGACTTTTCGAAAATATGTTGGGAAAGTAGTATGTATGTAAAAAATAACTCTCTCTCTTTTAAAATTAAATTTGAAAGTGGGCATTTTTACGTATTATTTAAGGTGATGCTAAAAAAGTATCGCACTAAGTAAATGAAGCATCTATAAATATAAGGGGTAAATTATTCTCCTTGTATGATGAATTGGTTTATGTATATATAAACATTATTTTTCTCCCTATTTTTACTTTTAATTTCCCCATATTGTAAGAAAGGCCTGTGACAAACATAAACTCTTGGATGAAATACTTTTAGCATTTTCAATGCCAGATTCAAAGATCATTTTCCTCAGCATTTTTTAATTGAAATTTTTGTTTTGTGCTTCGTCAAGAGTAACCTCGGCAACCTAGTGGTCAAGGTCACGGACTTGTGACTGGTATGTCGTGAATTCGAGCTCAGTACCACTAAAGATCCGCCGCTCAAAAGGGGCGATGCACGTTAAATATATTGAGGTTCAAACGTCTTCCCAATGGTGTGGTGTGGAAGTTAGGAGAGAAGGATGCCAGCTCAGTTGTCGTCCTCGTTACTTCACCATGGTTCAAAATTACGAATTCCATCTCCAATAGCCCTCGTGCAGCTTTACTGTGCATCGTTAATATACCTCTCTTGTCAAGAGAGACAATATAATTTCTTTCGTATCTTGCTAAAGGGTCTTCTTATAGGGATTTGCAATATGTCAAGCATCCAGCCACATACTTCTACAAAAAAAAGGAGAATTTTATATTTCTTAGCTCTTTTAATTAAATCTTAATTTTTTTTTTTTTTTTTTTTTGCTATATATAAAATTGGAATTGATTTCCGAGAAGTGGAACTTCTCTTATATTATCTTTGTGTGTGTTTGAGCGTGACGTCTCTTAAGAAACATATGAAAATAGTACTTATCATTTCCAAGTATTAATTCAATCTTCTTTCCATCTTGATGTAATAAAAACTTTTTTCTTTTCTGATGAACAATGCTATGAATATGTATCTGACACTTGGAAATGTCTATACCGCATGTTTTTCACTATATACTTTTGAATTACAGAATATAAATATCTTTTCTTTGGAAAGTTCAAAAACACCCTTCAATCCAAACTTTATTTGCATCCTTCCATTTTGAACTAAGAATAAATTTAAAAGCATAAGCCCCATTTTTAATTTCAAATAATAATCTGTTGTCAGGATATTTTCCCCGAAAGATTTGCAAGTTTAAAATCCTTTTATCAAATTATCTAGAATTTCTCTTAAGATTCCCGATTAGGAAGTTTTACAGGAATCGAAAAATAGTTTGAGAGAAAGCTAGAACGTCATTCTACATTAATTATAATGCTGCCCAAGTTGTTCTCTACAAAAAAATAATTTTATCATGAAATTCCTTCAGTGAAAAATTTCGAATTAAAAATTAATACGTTTCCCGTTTTTGTGTTATCTATTCAAAAGAAATGAAAAAATTTTAATTTCTCTCATTATTAAAGCCGTGTTTTTGAAAAAATGAAAATCCTCAAAAGCTTTTGTTTTTTAAAATAATGAAAAGGGTTTTGTTTGGGGGTCTGTATTGTACTTAAATATTTATAAAAAATATGCATTGATTTCTGACTTTACTGCTCTTTTTATGTTTCTTTATTCTCATTTTTAGATAAAATCATAGCTCGTTTCGACATTCACCAAAAAAGTTTTGGGAAATATTAAATTAAGAGATCTAAAATTAATACAACCCCTATTGTATAAGTTATACAACTGTTCATATACTCATTTCTCAACTTGGCAAAATATTGGTGATGCAGCCAAGTTGGCATAAGTTTTGGCAACCAAATTTGGCAACTTGGTGACCCTATGGATGCTTCTGGAAATGACGGAAAAAATCTATCCGTCACAATATATGACTTAAGCGGATTTTTCGAGAAACCGCTGGAAGGTAAATGGAGATCGATTTCCTAGGGTCAAAGGGATCCTAGGAAAATCGTTCTTCGCAGTCCTTTTCAGTTAAATCTAACTTTTTACAACCCATTTTTATTTATATCTTACACATAAATTAAATTTATAACAGCATCACAAAAAAAAATTTTATACATATAGAGAGAGATGAAAATTGAGATTATAAATTATAAATGCAAGATAACACACAGATTTTGTAATTCAATAAAATTATGTTATTTGTTCTTCAACAGGTTTGGCTTATCCGACCGAAGAAGTATTGGGAGAAGATACAGAAGTGAGTTGAAGATATAATGAAAAAATTTTGTATTAATCAAACACTTATCTGATTATACAGCTGATTTTCTATAGTATAATCATTTGTTGTTATAAGTTCTGTTCTTAAAAATGGTAATGTTAATCTCTTAGTTTATTGCTAAAATTTTATTTCTTAAAATTAGTTGCTTAAAACAAGTAATATAAAAAAATTTTAAGTCAATCCCTACTTATGGGTCAACAAAGAAAAATTTTATTTTAGTTACTTTTATTAATTACTATTAATATAAATATGTACTATATACATATGACAGAATCACAATATTAAGTGGCAAAACAGAAAGCGATTTTCCTTGCAATTTTTCATTTTCCTTTCTATATATGGGTATTATTTTTGTTACAATTTATTCATTAATTATAAATTTAATTTTTCCAATAAAATAGTATAGTAAAGAGAAATCACATTCTCTGAAATTAGGCCATCCCTGGTGGCAATTGAACCCACGACCTTTGGATTAGAAGTTCAAAGCGTGCACGCGCGTGCCATTGCGCTACAGGCACGCGATAAGTAATTTTTCTTTTTATATATGAGGGTTTTTTTAAACAATGATAAAATCCCCGTGCACCACAAAGTATCACACAGGGCTTACAGAAGTAAGTGTTAAGCACACAATACAAAGAAATAAAAAATAAAATAATGAAAGAATTTTTTTAAAAAAACAAAAAAAACAATATCTTGAGGTTAGGAAGAATTACAAATACTCATAACAAACTCATTGAACTTTTTAAAAGCACTGCTTGTGGAAACCAGTTGAGGAAGATTCGGAGGCCAATTTACATTAAGTCCCTTGAATGCCAGTCTTAGGATATTCCGTTCTCTTTCAAACTTGGAACACAGAAGGAGCACATGCTCTACATTTTCCTCGCCACCAATATCGCAATCACAGGAAGATGACGGAACTAAATTAAATTTGTTCAAGTATTTTTTTTAAATTGCCATGACCAGTTAGAAATTGTGTTATTTTGTTATTGGTATAAAAATGATGGCAGGACAGTCTCTCATTAATGGTTGGAAAAAATTTCTTTGTTACGCTCCCATTATTTGATGTAAGATATTCTTGGTTCCAAGGCTTCACCATTCTTTCCTTCATAATCTTCTTGTAAAATGACTTCGGAATATTAACGGCAGTGTCAATTTTGCGCTTGGTTGCAGCCTTGGCTAGCCAATCGGCCCGCTCATTTCCAAAAATACCCGTGTGTCCACGAACAAATGCAAAATCTATTGAGATGTTTTTATCTTTTAGGCTTTTCAGTTGCTTTGGATCTCGACGATTATGTTGTTAGATGAAGAAATACACTTAAGAGAATCCAAGGAGGAAAGAGAGTCTGTACAGATGAGATAGTCTGAGACACTATTTTGTTCAGTGATCCATTTAATGGTGAAGTTTAAACATAAAAGTTCAGCTACAAAAACTGTGCATTCATCACGAATTCTAAATTGAAAGTGATCGGATTCTACACCACTCCTGAACACAACAAAAGCGAAACCAACTCTGCCAGCAATTTTACTACCATCAGTATAGCAAATAACAGGGAAGTCATCAGTATTTTTGTCACTGTGCTTTATAATATTGATAGAATTCCTCTCTGAAGGATGAGGGAGAAAACATGGAGACATAGTGCAATCATAATTAGAGATGGAAGAAGCAGCGAGATTTTCCCTAAAAGCAATGTTATGAAGAATAGCAATGTCGATTGGAGGGAATCCAGAAATAGCAAAAACTGACTCGTAACTTATGGTACGATAACCGCAAATGATCCTCAAGAGCATTCTTCTTTGTATGCGTCGCAGATATTTAGAGTTCATCTTCCTTTTAAGGGCCTCACCCCAAACTCTAGAACCATACATAATGAAAGGTTCGATTCCTTGCTTATAAAAGAGCAAATGTACGTTGAAATTTATACCGAACGAGTTACGTGCAATGCGATTTAGTCCACGCTGCAATTTGTCATATTTCTCTGATATGTAATTTAAGTGCTGCTTCCAAGAAAATTTAGCATCCAGAAGAACCCCCAAGATATTTCATTTGTTTTACCATAGTCAAGAGAGTACCATCGAGATGCAGCTGAAATGCACCATAGCAAACGTTTCGTTTTTCAATAGCCATTACTCTGGTTTTAACAGGACTAAAATCTAATTTAAAATTCTTTGACCAATCAGAAGCGAGGTTCAAAGTTTCCTGTGCGTGTAGGAAAGCTGCAGCGAGATTCCTATCTTGGAAACAAATTAAAATGTCATCAGCAAAAGCTATGGTTTCACAGCAGGCAAGATCATTAAGTTTCAATAGAAGATCATTGATAATGATATTCCAAAAGATAGGTCCAGAAACAGATCCTTGAGGGCAACCCCTTTCAAGATAACGGATTGCAAAAGTCGAACTTAGTTGCATTTTGGCCATTCTGTCATTTAAAAAGTCAGCAACAAGTGAAAAAAGATTTTTCGGAATTTTCGCTTTCTTAAAGAGATTCAGAATGCAAGGCCACCATGCGTTATCAAAAGCACCTTTTATATCAAGAGAAATCAAGATTGAGTGTAAATGCTTCTTTTTACCTCTCTTAACAATCTCATTCAAACGTAAAAGAGCGTCTTCCGTGCTCTTATGGGTGGTAAAACCATACTGATCACTAGAGAGAAAGTCTTCATGGCGCAGATACCAGCAAATCCTGTTAACAAAAAGTTTCTCTAGGCATTTACCAAGAGTTGGAAGCAAGCTTATGCATCTAAGGTTATCGAAATGAGGAACTCTAACTCATTTACTTTAGGGATGAGAATCACCTGGGCAAGTTTCCAAACCCGTGGAAAAATACCCAAATCAAGGCAAACATTAAAAAGTTTATGGAGAAAAGAAGGGAATGCTAAATGGAACTGCTTAATAATCTAATTTGAAATAGAGTCCGGACCAGGTGATTTATTGAGCTTCAGCATAGGAAACAACTGTATTAACTTCATCACAGGAAAAGGAAGGATCAAAAAAGGATGAGTAAGCAGTACGCACGGCCTTACGATAGTCTTTCTGAAAGTTATTGTCATTTGCCTCTGAATCAGAAGGGAAGGATTTTTGAAGCACAGCATTTATTGTCTCATCTAAAGAAGAGGTTGTTTCTCCTGTGGATAGTTTAATACCAGTTATTTCAATTTTTTTCATAAATTCTCTTTTAACGCCATATGTATAAACCTTCTTCCACACATTTTGAGCGTCAATGGTCAAAAGAAATTTCTTCCAAGAGTCAGATTTAGCATCAATAAGCATTTGATTACAATCTTTTCTGTAATCAAGATATTTATTTCTGTATAACTCTCTAACAATTGGATTTTTACAACGTTGAATTATATATGAGGTTGAACTGTCATTTTTATTTTTTACTATTTATTCATTAATTAAATAGAAATAATGAATTAATATATTAAAGGTATTTTATTAACGATTAAAAATTTGAACAAGATATATATATATATATATATATATTGAGAGTGTGAACTAATTGTAGGAATTGAAAAAGTTGCTTGGTTACCTAAATCAGTGCTTCTCAAATTTTAAATATTTACGACCCAATATTTAACCATAATTTTCATCGCATCCCCCCCCCACCCCATCTTCATTCAAATAACAATATGTTGAAATCAATAACTTTGACACTAAAGCTACAATACTACTCAACGACTTTTTCTTACGTGCCTCCGGCGTATATAAACGTCTTGCTCAACCAAGGCATTAATTACCCCGGACGAATACATACATCTTTCCGAAGTATAATCTTTTCTATACACTGCTACCCATAAAATTATTCTAAAGGCTTTGGAATGCAATAAAAGGACCTTGACAGTGTTTGAGAAGGATTTACCTATTTCAGAAGATTTCCCCAATACATTACATACACTCGCCTACGTGGAGAATGGTGTCGTTGAGGAGCGAATGGCCTACGTGGAGAATGGTGTCGTTGAGGAGCGAATGGCCTACGTGGAGAATGGTGTCGTTGAGGAGCGAATGCGTACCTTTTAATCGGTAGTTAAGGGATTAATTATAAACCTTAAAATTTATCAAGATAAATGTTAATTTTTTCATATAATTTTTATATGACAAGCCCACGGGGTCACTAGCTTTTTTTAAACTTGTTCTTAGCTTAGTATTGTTAAATTAATTATCAAGTGCATTCTGCAGCACTGATACATTTGTGAGTGTATAATATCAGTACAAATATTAATTTTATTTTCATTATATCAGAATGTATTTTGTTTGTTTAATTTCAGTAAATTAATAATTTTTTATATAATCTATTATTTTTTATTGTTTAATATGCTCGTGCCCTCCTCGTAGAGTTATCCCACCCCCTTAGGGGGACGCGCTCCACAGTTTGAGAAACACTGATATATAACATAGTGCTTCAAATTTTAGTATTTAATGCCGCAGAAAACCGTTCATTGTTGAAAAGATCCTTGCTTATTCGTAAAAAGAGGCGAAGATTTAAAAATGTTCCACGATGTTTGCATTTGTATCTCATAAGACATCCAAGAATCCACCTGCCTTATTTTACTTTTTACTCAAAGTCAAAACCTACTGCATACTATGTATAAATTCTTTGCAATTGTGTGTGGTTTTTTTTTTCTTATATCCTTATTTTTACTTTAAGCATCGTAAACTTTATCGTAACGAATCATTTAATAACAACACTCTTCCAAATACGTGAGTGGTATTTCCAAAGGAAACTGCAGCAAAATAACCAATTTAAACTCGAATTTATAGTAATAAACTTTTATTTCTGGTTTTTAAAAATTTAATTTACGTTTAAGGAAGTCATGAAACAGGACTTTTACATTTTGAAACTACCAAGATTTTTTTGTTTATTTATTTATTTACTTTTGGTCTGGCATATGTAAATAAAGACAAATACGCCGAAGTTTGAACATGCTTTTCCCTCTTATAACTCGGCGACGTATGGTGAACGATATTTGAGACGATTTTCATCTGCTCGAAAGTTTCTAAAACTAGTTAATTCTACACTAAACACTTATTTCTTATGAATCTCCAATGTATTATCTCATTTAAATCTTTCTTTTTTCTTTTTTTGAATCTCTTTTAAGTTTTTAGAATAAATTTTTTTCTAGTATTAACTTTCTTATTTTTTTAATCCTTTTCCAGTCTTTAGCTTATCAACTCTCTAATGCCAACAAGCTCGAACAAGAAGCTGCTCACTTCAATCAGAATGACAAACCAAAGAGCTGCTTTCACTTCTACGTATCACGCAACATGTCTTCCCTACTTTCCGATGCCACCAAGATGTTGCAACAAGTCCGCGACAGGCGCGAAAGAGAATGGATCCTCACTTTCATCTATCGTATTAAGTCTCTGGGTGAGCACTTGAGAACGCATCCAGAAGCTCGCAACTACGATTGTTTACCTGTCGAAGAAGAAGATAGGAAAATGAATCCTTTGCAGAACGACCCGTTGAAAAGTTCACAGCAAGAACTTTACTTCGTCGATGAGAGCTGGCCGAATTCCATG